TCGTTATCGAATGTACGTACGATCAGTTTGTATTTGATTGGTTCTAATCAGATATATGTATTATTGTCGCTATTGATTTGTGCTCGTATTCGAGATTTGTAATGATAGGAATCTGGGCTGAACCTTTTTCGAAAGCAGAAGTGATCCTTATTCATTGTCCGAAAATGCAGTTTCCTTATGGTTTGCCGTGAATTCAGGCCTCAACGAGTGCAGGTGGCTTGCCGGGTTCATCGAGTCACAGCGGTGTAACGTCACTGAATGCACCCAAACGACTCTTCTCGCCCTCGAACTCAACAGCTCCTTGCAATGGTAATCTTATGACGCGTTCGTCGATCGATTCGGCTGGTTGTGGCTCCGNCACCAGATGATGCCGTTTATGCGCCACATAGATTCGGTTGGTCCTTTGAAAGATTGGTTTTGCTGATATTATTGTTGTTGTTGGTGTGATTATTATTATTATTATTGTTATTATTATTCCTTCTGTTGCTATGAATACAGAAGTGATTGCTATTGGAGTGAATTTTGATATTTAGATTCGAAAACGGAAGGTTCAATAAAATTGAATATATCAAATTTGGGTGGTTTAAGACAAAAGGTCACAACATCTTTCCATACAATCGCCAATTTACCTTGGTCAGTTTTTTTTTTGAATAACTTTTCTCTTATCGTATTATTTTTTTTTTGCGGATAATATCGTATTCTCGTCAATTTTTTTTCAATTTTGCGGAGATCAATTGGATGGAAAACTTTTCGGAAATGATTATTTCAGTGGATCGTAATAAGCGAGCAATTTTTCACAAGTGTTTCTTTTTCCTTTTGCAGGCGTTTGGCGGCCAAAACGGAATGTACAAAACGAACGAGCAACGTAAAATTCTTTAGTGTATATATAGATTGTAATCCAGAAAGTGAGTCGACTTTGTGGAGTTGTGATGCGATCGTTGAATTCAGACTCATCTCTCAGAAACCGGACACTCCGAATTTCAGTCGTCAGGTATGAATGAACAACTCATCACAAATAATATTTTTTTTAACATTCGTTTTTCTATGTCGCATTCTTTAAGGTAATCTAATATCAAGTTCACTTTTGCATTGTAATCATTAGTTGCAATTGAACGTGTGGCATACAATCAATGTGGTCACAGTAATAAGATTAAGGATAACGCATAGAGTAATGAGGATTTTTTTAGTAATAATAAAAATAATAATAATAATAGTAATAATAGTAATAATGGTAATAATAGTAATGATTGTGATGATAGTAATGATTGTAATCTGATGATAGTAATGATGGTGATGTGATGATAGTAATGATATTAATGATAATGAGAGTGGTAAGAATAAAATGTTAACTTGTTTGTTTGTTTCAGTTTACGAAC